ACGAATTTGTGTATTGATCTTACGTTGTTCTTCATCACAGATATTGTATGGTTCTTATTTAATTTAAACATTTTTTATGTGTTTTTTTTTTTAAATTATGAAGTTTACTAATTATATGTTGTTGTAATTGACAGATTTTTGAATCACGGGCTAAAGGTATAGAATGATCACAGTCTATTGGTAAAAATCATGGTATTGTTGTTGTTACAATTCAGTCTAATTCTGCCAATGGACTGCGAGGAATGAAGGATAAATTGATTATGGATTGTGATAGAGGGGGAAATTACAAAAAGAAAAATGAATATGGGAAGTCGTATGATGGGAACTATACTATGAAGGTTAGATGCCCATTTAGGCTGATATTTGTTCCAAGTGGTATCGATTGGAAGGTGATGGTTAGATGCGGTTTGCACAATCATAAACTAGATAAGGATTTGGAAGGCATGACATTCTGGGTCGTCTAAAAGATCATGAAAGAAAATTTGTGAATGACACGACGAAGTACAACATGGCACCAAACATATCAAAAGAATAAAAAAAAGTTTCAGTACTATCAGAAATTTTAAATTTCCGGTTTTTTCCATAAATTGGAAATTTCAAATTTCCGATTTCTTATAAGGATGAAATACACCAGAAATTTTAAATTTCCGATATCAGATATTTCAAATTTTCGGTTAAGTTCATATGACACAGTAAAAAATTGGAAAATCAATGAAATTTCCAAAACTTTCGTGAATTTTCTGGTATGACAACAGAAATTTCAAAAAATCCAATATATTACAGGGACAGTTTGGTAAAAGTGCCAAGATTTGGGGTGACATGTATAAAATGGGGGGTGACGTGTTAATTCCTCGACAATAGGGTGGCAAATGGGCCTCACGTCCCGCCTCATCTTAAGTGTCAAAAAAAGAGCGGGACAGACATGTCGGTCAAGTGAAAATGGGCATAAAAATCTGACCCATTCTATCAAAGTGGCAGATTGCGGGCTTGCCCGCTTTTTTTATTTATTTTGTTTATTTATTTAATAGATTAATAGGTTTGTTTACATTTCAATTAGATTTCACTAATTTTTTAAAACAGTTTTTTATAAATTATCTTTTAACAAATTTTACTTAAAAAAATTACATATATTCACAAATAAATGTATAAAATAAAATCATCAAGAATTGAAATTACTAGAATTGACTTAAAACGACGGGACATGCTGAACAAATAGGTGGGGTGAGATTTGGCAGACGGAGGGTTTTGACGAGGAGGACTTTGGTAGACGACAGATTTTGGCATGACAGACTTTGGTGGACGGCAGACTCAAAATCCCAACTCAATCTGCCATTTTTTAACCGGTGCGCGAGTGGGTCACAACTCGTTTTACCACCCCAAATTAACGGTATAAAAATTGTATACTCTAATTCAATAAAAATATATCATTCTACTATATTATATAAATAATTTAAAATTTTTACATTATTATTGATTGACAGTATAAAATTAATCTAAAATATCGTTGTGTGATTCTTTTTCTCAAAATTAATTTATACGGATACACGTGTCTATATATATATATATATATATATATATATATATATATATATATATATATATATATATATATATATATATATATATATATATATATATATATATATATATATATATATATATATATATATATATATATATATATATATATAAACTTCAAAGTATTTGGTAATGACACTACTAACCTTTTGATTAAAATCTTTAATTTCACTAACGGTAAGGGTAAAATAGACTTTTTGAACTATTCTTATCACCATATTATTTTGATATTTAATGGTGTTGATGTGTCAATACAATATATTTTCACAGTATTTTTGATTTTTTTAAATCACTAATCACTAATTATTTCATTGAGCGTACATATTCTAATTATTTCAATATACACTCTATACAACAATAAAAATCAATAGCCCACTTTGAATATACAAAGAATTCCAATTTGATACTACAATTAATTCATGACTTTTCAAGTTTCTAAACCTTTATTCAAACATATAAACCCTTCCATGACATCACATTATTTCACAACAACTCATCTTCACATCACATCGATCTCTCACTTCAATTTCAAATCCAATTTTCTCCTCCTTTCCTCCGCCACTATGTCTTTCGCTGCCGTCGATGACGCAAAATGCAGTTCATCTACGTCTCTTCCTCTTCCGCCTATGTTTTTCCTCTACCTTTCTTCCGCCTCCCTTCTGACTTTTATATCAAAGACAAACTTCCTATACAATACATATCGAGGGTTTTGGTAATATGTTATTTCATTTAAGTTAAAATTTCACTTTTATGTGATTTGTTCTGTTTTGGATCCGACTTTATAAAAATACTTTGTTATGGAACTTTCAGAGTATGGACAAGCAGTTATAATCTGACTTCATAATTTTCATTTGATTTAAAATACAAACTCTATATGTGAGTTTTCATGTTTTTAATTCCACAGGTCCGATAGTAATGTTGGAGCATAGTTTGGTTAAGATAGGGATGTTTCTCTCTTGAAGCATAATTTGGATTGTGGTGATAAGGTTCAAATGACTAGTAGCTGTTGTTAATTATTTATTCTATTCATATTCTTTTAAAGAAAACACAAAGTGTGCTTAGGCTTTTGATTAATGCAAAATGTTAACCACTTATGTAAGCCACTAATCAAAGTATCCTTATCAAGAGTTTGATTATCATAAGTTTGCATGTTTATTTGTTTATCTTTCTATTCATGAATGGATTCTTAGGTCTTTAATGATGGCTCGGGATTTTAGTATTTGATTATAGAACACAAATCCTTTCTACCAAAGACAAGGTAACATTCTGCTATAATATAGTTGTATATTGAAACTGGTATTTGTTTGTAGAGCATGAAAGGTATGCTAAATAATAACTGAATCCCATGTATTTATCCTAGACAAATCACCCGTGTTTGGAACTATGTTCATAGTTTACTTGAAATGTAATACCCTATTGCAAAAGTGTGAACTGAAGTTTGTGTAATTAAATAACTTGCATGATTATCCTAATGTAAAGGTTCTATTTTCATTTGACATGGTTGTTGCCATGATTCATTCTTGATTTCTTAGTCCTTTATATATTCTCATAATGCCTCCTAATGATGTTTTAGTCATTTTACAAAAGGCTGATATCTATAGTTGATTCTTGATTTCTGAAAGAATAACATATTGAAATTGTTCAGGAAAATATTGCTGATCTGCACCTCTAAATGATTTTTTTTGTAGTAGATGTGCTTGTGCTTTTTTGTAGCAGGTGTGTTTTGCTTTTCAAAAAATTAATTTTAAGGTATTAAATGAAATAATTAAAGTTAGATTGATTATGATAAATGATAAAAGAAAAAACTAAAAAAAATATGACATAAATGATAATAATAAATATTGACGAGAGAGTATTAAATATTTGAATATTTAATTTCTTTAAATTAATTTCTTTGAGTCAAAAAAGCCAATAAATAATTAAGATTAATAAAATACATTACAAAATAAGTTGTGTTTTGCCACGTGACTCCCACGTCGCTAACACTAGAATCACGTCACAATTTTATTTTTGCCACCTGAAGAAACACGTCGCTGGAGAGCGCGTGGCAATGTTGTTGCGACGTGGGAAACATGTCATAACGTTGCCACGTGAAATTCACGCCGCAACAAACTTTATGGGGTCAAAGGCAGTCAGAGCAGAGCAGATTTTATATTTACTTTTACGTTGTATGTTGCGGCGTGTTTTTCATGTCACTAATTAGTGATGTCGAAAACACGTCGCAACTTATTTAAAAAAAAAATTATTTTCTGTTTTAAATATAATAATTCTGATATAATAATTAATATTATTTTCTGTTTCATTAAATTTATAAATTAAATATTATAATTTATTTATTAAATTCAATATTATAAATCAAATTATCAAAAATAAAACTAAATATATTAAAATATATAAATTAATATACTTAATATAATAAAATTAATAGACTAAAATTTAAATTTAATATTTTTAAATATAAAATATGATATAAATTTATATTAGTACACAAATAAAAAACTAAATAGAAAATAAAAATAATCCTAAACAGAAGGATCATTCGAGTCGTCGAAAAAATCGCGAAGAAAGTCATCATTATTTTGGTGGTTATTATTTTGGCCACCATTGTTGGGATTTCCACCAAATGCTTGCATAAATTGTCGCATTTGCTCCTCCATATCAGCTTGCCTCTTCGCCATTGCCTCCATTTCTCTATTATGTTCACCGCTCATTGCCTCCATTTGGGCCTTCAATGCCGCCTCCATTTGGACCTTCCATGCGGTCTCACGTTCTTCAGACTCGCGTTTAGCCAATTGTCTTACAGTTTCTAACTGATCCGGTGTCAAATTTGTTTGACGTGACCCTCCTTCACCGTTCGCAGCTCTCTGATACAGAGTTCTATCCCCACTCCTCAAGGTGCCCGCCAAATTTCCACCACTAAAAAAACACTCGTTAGGCCCCTTTCCCCCAACAACTTGACTCCAAATATAGAAATCCACATCTGGATGAATCGGTTTTCCCGGAGGAGGAGTATACTGAGGATTAAGGGTCAGAAATTCTACAAGCAAAGCCTGATAATACTTCTACACATACAATAAAAAAATCAAGTTAAATATATAAGTAAAATTAATGAAATTAAATTAAATAAAAATAATAATAAAAAACATATAGCCACGTGATTATAACGTCACAACTTATCAGTCATCAATGGTTGTCTCCCCAAATGCTTAGCCTAAATAAAAAAATTAACTTAAATTAATAATATAGGTTATAAATCCAAATATGACTTTAAGAAGTGTTAATAATTACCATGCGTCGAGCATGCTCAACAGTACTAATACTTCCAACAGCATTAAGGCACTTCCAGACGCTTGGACATATGGAGCAAAACCATCAAAGCATAATCCAAGCCTGACATTTCTAGGTTCCGCGGAAAAATCAGGATGTACCTCATCAAAGTGCTTCCATGCATGGCCGTCAGATGGGTGTCGCATATTGCCTGGGGTTGTTTTGTTTGTATGATGCCATGTCATTTGACTTGCACTGTGGATTGAAGAAAACATTCTTTTTAACCTTGGTATTATCGGAAGATAAAACATAGACTTTACTGCTACACGTTTTTGCTTACTGTTAATGGCTCTATTGCGAACTTTATATCTTGGACTCTGACAAAACTTACATTCCTCCGACGATCCATCTTGAGTACCAAACTCGTTGTCATAAAACAACATGCATCCATTAATGCAACAATCAATCTTTCTTACTCTTAAACCCAACATCGACACCAACTTCTTTACATCATAGAAACTCGCAGGCAAGTTATCTTTCGTTGCAGTTGAGTCCAACATCATTTTTGCGAAGTGCTCCAAACACTGATCATGAATATTCCAATTTGACTTGGCGGCCAATAATCTCACACACATTGATAACTTTTAGTCTGACGACCCCTCAAACAACGACGTATTCATCTCATTCAACAATTGATAAAATCTCTGCGCTTCCTCATTCGGCAACTCTTCCCCGTCAAAATCTTCTGGTTGATCATAGGTCACGTTAACACCGAAAGCATCATCAACCATGTCACCTATCAGATTAAAGTTTTCCTCAAATTCCATAGGCGGTTGCATATCCGGTTGACTACTTGAAGCATCTGTGTTGCTAGTCTCTGGTACATTACTCGACAGTGTTTCACCATTATACGTCCAAATCCAATAATTTTCAATGAAATCTTTTCTATGCAAATGACGTGTTATTTCCTCTGGGTCACTAATTATATATCTACATCCACATTTAAGACAAGGACACCTAACTCCTCCTTCACTTCGACAACGTTCCTGAGCAAACGTCCACGTGATAAAACCATTAACTCCGTCTATAAAATTGTGTTTAAGTGCGCGTCTTCCTGAATATAGTCTATCGTACATCCAACTACGATAATACCTATAATATTCCATTTACTGCAAATTTATATAATCAAAACCTTTTTAATTAAAAATATTAATTAATCAACTTAATAATAATCCTAAATATATACTATTAAACATAAGCATATGCTTTTACTTTAACTATTTTTAATATATAATATTTTTTATTATATACTATTAAATATACTATTAATATAGTTTATTAAATATATAATAATTAATATAATATTTTTTATTTACATATAATATAGTTTTTATAAAATAATTTTTAATTATAAAACCGTTTTTATTAACATACATATAATATATAATAATTAAATATATAAACCCGTTTTTTATATATAATGTTTTATAACATACTATATATAATGTTTTATTGACATATAATGTTTTTTAACATACTATATTAATGTTTTATTGACATATAATATAGTTTTTATATAATATTTTTTAATTATAAAACCGTTTTTTATTAACATATAATACAGTTTTTATAAAAAAAATTTAATTATAAAACAGTTTTTATTAACATTCTATATATATATGATATTATATTTGTTTTAAATAAAATATATATTAACATTAAAACCGTTTTTATAAAATTTATATATTATTCTGTTTTTATAAATTAAATAAGTCAAGATATATATTTAATGAAAATTACAATATTATAATTTAACCAAATTCAACCTAAAATCTAACTAAATTTAGAAAATATACAAAATGTAAATTTTTTTTCTCCAAGAAATACCTCTTATCTTCTAACTCCTTCAATCTTCTTGTTCAATCTTTTTGCAATCTACTTCTACTATATCAATCTTCTTCTATTCAAAGAAAAATTAAAATAAATTACAATCCCATATTACAATAAATAAAAACTTGTAAACAAAATAGAGACAAAATTTAATTTAATTTACCTGAAAAAACAAGGATTAATGGAGATTGAAGTTGGATTTTATATTGGAGAAAAAGAGATTTTGTGAAGAAGAAGGGGGTTAATGGAGGGATGGAATGAGAAGAGGGTTAATGAAGAAGAAGAATGTTTGAATGTTTGATAACAATATTGTCTGCTTTGTGTAACGCGATGCAATTAAATACATAAAGCATTTAGCGACGTGTAAATCACGCCGCAACATTGCCACATGACTTTCACGTCGCAACCATCCCAACAGTCATATTCTCTTTCTTCACATGCTTGCAAAAGCTGATCAGAGCAGGCTGTATTGATTTGACTTTTCCCCTGTTAAATGTTGTGACGTGTGAATAACACGTCGCAACTTGCTTTTTCAAAATTTCAAAAACCCATTCATCTGAACGTTAAATCAATTAAAATATTTTTTATTATATTTTTACTAACGACGTGAATCCCACGTCGCAACATATTTTTTTTTATAAAAAAAATCAGACAACCATCAAACTTTTTTATTTTATTAATAAAACATGTTGCCACGTGACTATCGCATCACAACTGACTTTTTTTAGGGAGATGATATTTCTTGTAGTGATGTCAAGAATGAGTTAAATATTTTATGGTAAAAATGTGAGACTTAAATACTGTGAATTAGATGGTATTGGACATGAATTATTATTTTTGAAATATATTTTTTAATATAAAAAGTATCAAATATATATTATATATTAATTTCTCAGTTATTTTTAATCTAACATTAATGAGATGTCTACCTCATTATTTTTAAATACTATTTTTTGTATTTAAAACATTAATAAAGTTATCATGTTAATTAAATAGATGATAATGTAAAATAGTTATTTTACCAATAAAAAATTGAAGATCTTTTTCACAATAATTCAATATATAAATTTTATAGAATCAAACATATATTTAATATGTAATTATATTTGATATCATTACATAAAATACAACATAAAACTTAAAAAATATTTGTCACTAATAATATAAAAAATATATATGATACACGTATTTGTATAATTGATTTTAATTATATTTAGTATCAGTGTATTTATTAATATTTAATATTCTATAAATTATATATACTCTACAAATTTGATAAATGTATCTTTAATTTTTATTTTAAAAGAATTAAGAAAAATTAAATACATATAATCAATTAAATATATTTGATTCTTTTAAAATTGATAAGATCTCTAAAAGAAATAGAATATGTGAACGGATTTCTCAGTAGTATATATATAATTACAGTTTTGCGAAATAAAGCCGAATCGTCAGCGAATCCAATTCAACAGACAGATTATACTTCGTTATCTTTCCCAATCATTTCCCTCTCTCTCTCTTCGCGCGCCGCTGCTTCTCTTCGTAAGTACTTCTCTCACAATAGATCCATCCAATCATAAACCCTAGAACCTTCTTCCATATCTTCAATTTTCACTCTCATAACAACTCTCTTCAATTTCTTCTCACGTTCTTTCTGCACACTACAATTTTTCGGTTAATTTCCTCTCTTTCATGCTTAACCAATTCCTGTTACTTTCTTTTACTTGCTTAGGTTTCGAAGCAACGATGGAGTTATTCGAAGGAGGTAAGCAAATTCAATTCATTCTTGTACCTTTTTACGCTATTAGGTCTTACAAGTTTATCTCGTGTTATATTGAAGCAATTTTACTTAATTTTACATTATTAGTTTTGAAGCGGTAAATTACTCATTTATCTCTTATGTCAGACCAACTGAAGGCTGCAGAGAAGCTCGAGTCGGAGAAATTAGCTAAGATCAATTTCAACCCTACGCGCATAGTTGATTTAGATGCACTTCTTTGTGATACCTATGATAAACAATGTCCAAAGCCAGTTCATTATGACAACAGGAGAGATTTGATTCGCATCTTCAATATGATAGCACAGGAAATATATGGTAATCTTTTAATCCATGTTTCTTAAAAATTTAGCCTGCACATTTTGCTTTCGAAAGAATATAAGAAGTTGGTAATATATTTCCCACTTGATTGGATCTAATTGTACTGATTATTCAATCTTTCTTTATCATTTACTTGCACTAATTCATTCGTTAATTTTGCAGTTTAATATGAAACTATGTAGTACTTTGTCTAAAAAAATGGAGTTTGAAATCAAACTCCTAAAATTTATTTTCTCATTTTGATTGAATTGGTCTGATTTATTTCATTTATTCTCTATGATTTCATATTGGAAACTTGTATTTTGGTAGAGAAGCAGCTTTTGCATTGGGATTGAACATTTAACAATGTCAGAGAATTGCGAAATTGTTATTTGTTTGCTCATTGATTATTTATTTCGCTCACTACTAAAGTACTAGTTATCGGTTGAAACATTCAATTTAAGTATATTTTCATCTTGCTATTCCCACTGATCTGAAATAGAAAAACAAAACCACCCTGTTTTAAAATTAAAATGCCCTTTTACATCTCCCTTTTTATCATCTCCTATTCATTTTACACTTATTGGTCCTTTTACTTCAATTTTAGCTCAATTTTTATGCCTTTGATAATATGTTATTTTCCCTTCAGGCAATAGTAGGTCCTCTCCTGTTGTGGAAGAATATGGATCATTTGTAATGGACATTTTCAATGAAAAAAGTGATCTTGACTTGTCTATCAATTTCAGCAAAGATTCCATTGAAATTAGTCGGCAGAAGAAGATTGACATCCTTCGGAGGTTTAGCAAGAAACTACGCTCAATTCAAAGTAAGCTTATCATACTACCCGCTTTTACTGTTGGCTTTTGCCAATGGAAAAGTTCTGCAATAAACATCACTTATTCTTGAATTGTTTATCAAATCTTACGTGCTTTAATATGTCTGAGTTGATTGGGGTTCATAGGTAATAACATATTTGTTCTATATATACATTACATGAAGCCTAATTATTCAAGAATATGATCTCAGAGCTTTATATTATTTGAGTTTGCTGCACAATTGATTATTATCATGGTTCTTTTATAAATTTTTTAATGTGTCTTTCTAATAACCATTATCTTAGAATTGTGGATGGACTGTGATACCATATTAAAAATTGAGTTGGGCCTAACTCAAACTTACAAAACCGGCTTGAGGATTGCCTCCTCTTATAAACACATATTTAGACCACATATTCTCTGATGTGCGACTCTTAACACTTTAGCCAAGTGGGAAATGATCCATGTTGTACCATGATTGAATTGTGGCAAGGGTACTATGATATGTGTGATATTTATGGGGTTCTCAATGAATGCCAAAATTTCTATCTGTGTACGAAATTCAGTTATTTGAGAGAATAATAACTTATCTAAGAGTTTGCTCAAGGGTCGTAAATGCTTGAAAGAACCAAGATCTAGATGTAGTATAGATATGACAATAGGCCTATAACTTCTTATAAGGTTACGACAAGTCATAGCATAACTAATTTGCTAAACATAAATAGTGGAGTAAGTTGGATGAGGAAGTCGGAATAGACTGGTCCCAGCTGTAGCTCCGCATTAAGGTGCAGATTGACATAGTTGTCTGCTACGAAGCATGAACACCTCTCGGATTAGGTGTGTCGCAATGTCCGATACATGTCGCTGTCTGACACTTGTAAGACACCCGTACGACACATGTTGGAAAACTTAGACAAGTGTCCCAAAAAAATAGTATTTTTCCTCTGTTTCAACACTTTGAATTAGTGTTCGACACCCGTATGAAACTCATACGACACACATTGGAATTGACACCTGCATGACACTCATACAACACGTGTCGGACAATTCAAACTAGTGTTTTAAAAAAGTTTTATTTTTTTCTTTGCTTCGACACACCTTATACTCATTTTGAACCTAGGTTGTCAGTAGCGCGTTATAGCGGTATAGCATAGCGGTAGAGGACCTCACCGCGACGCTTTTGGGCTGCTAACCGCTATTTGCGATAGCAAAAATAGCGGCCGTGATTTGCGGAGGCGTAGCGGTGGAATAGCGGCGCAATAGCGGTTATGTAGCGCTTTACAATGTTGTTTATGCCGGATTGCAGTCCATGGCAGAGAGCCCAAATCCCGCCATATTGGCCGCTTTGTGGCGCCGCTATTGCAGATTATGGCGGAAAAACGCGCAATAGTGGCCGATATTTACCGTTGCGGCAAGTCCAAAAACCGCCATGTATATCCGCCATAGTGGCCATGGCGGGGCAATTTGATAACACTGACGCTTTACAGACCACTATTGTGAAGATGAGGCCAATACTGTAATTTTGAATTTGTTTTAAGGGCAAATTTGTGTTTTTCCCTTTTATTTCACTAATATTAAAGCTAAAAGTGAGGCATTAGGTAATATTAAAGCTAAAAGTGAGCCACGTTCTCCTTCGCCCCTGTTTTCACATCATGCTTCCACTTTCGCCCTTCACAGCAAGTTCTTTTCACAGAATATTGGAAGATGATTTGGTTTTAGGAGAAGAGGGTTTGCCTTGGGAAGTTGTTGGTAATGCCGCTGGGGCTAATGAACCAACAAGATGTACTAGGCATCATTCTAGACATGTTACATTAGTGTCTAATGGAGATGAGGAGTTGGAGGTGGAAGAAGAAGAGTTTGAAATTGAATCAAGTGATGAGCAAAATAATATTAATGTGGTGGAACTTAGAAGTGAAGATGAGGCGTATGTGATTTAGTCATTTTGTTTATGTTTAGAATTTGGTTTAGTCATTTTGAGTACATTCTTAATTTGAGTAATTATGTTTGGTTTATGTATGTTGCAACTTTTGGTTTATGTATGTTGCAACTTTTGGTTTTAAGTCATTATGTATGTTGTTGGAACCTATTTTTCGTATTTATGTTTTCATATTAAGTATTTACCTTGATTTTTAAAAGCTCACAATAGCGGTCATCCCGCTATCTGCTATGCCGCTATAGCATTTGGGAGGTCCGGCGCGCTATCTGAGATTAACAACCTAGTTTTGAACACATTTAAAAAGGTTAAAATGTGTCAAAGCAATGATGATCAATGAAGGATTAAATACATAAACTTGATTAGAATATTGTTAACTCTTTTAATAGTAGATAGAAAATTGAAGGTCAAATACCATCATATATGTAGTGGTGTCCGTGTCCTATGTTTTTGACATTATCGGTGCTAAAGTGTCCGAGCTTGTTAATAAACATGGAACATGTCCCCAACGCCTCTTCAAAAGATGTTTTCTCTTTGTTGTCGAAAAAATAATCTCACTCTTTCAAATCTGCACCATCTAATTTTTTGTTTTGCGGATACATAGTTGTCTACAAGTTCTATTTTGCAATGTGAGGAATCAAATTATTATTTACAACATGAAACTGTAAGTTGTAGGACAACTTAGCTCTGATAAGTACAAATGATTTTTAAATTGAAAAATAAATGTTTCTGTTCTGCTCTCGTTAAAAAGATTCAGACATTGGGTTTGATTCATTTTTATTGGGCAACGCTGGTATGTTATGAATCTACAGCTTTGAAGTTGTTGTGTGAATTATAACATCATTGGCTGTTGTGTTTCAGGAAATGGACATGTGACTGCTTTAGAAGTTATCCTGTCTGCCAAAGTACCGATTATAAAAGTTACTGATAGTGGAACAGGTATTGAATGTGATTTATCAGTCGAAAATTGGGATGGCATTGCAAAATCTCATATTATCCGTGCAATTTCTGCCATAGATGAAAGGTTTCAAAAGCTATCTTTACTGGTAAATATGATGCCTCTGCTGTTTTGATGCCATTTCAATGAAGTTCAGCATCAATATCTTTACTTTGTTTTAAATGCTACAGCAGATAATTCTTTGGTGTGTTTGAGTAAATATTTTATTTAGGACCAATTTGAAGTGAGAAAAAGAAACATATGGAAAACCTGCAGTGATATTGAAATGGTGATAAATAATCAAATTGGTCATGTTTAAACACACGATTTTTGTTAGGTTAATGTATTGACAGTGGCAAATTTGTATGAATGAAAAAATATCACTGTTTCTAGTTTGAAGGTGAGTTGTTGAAAAATATTGAAGTCAAACCTTGTGACCAGTTTTGTCAGAAAGTTACCATAGAATTTGAATTAAAAAGTTTTTTAGTGGATATCATTTCAACTTAATCTTATTTTTCTCATATCCTTCTTTGCTGGTGGCCTCATTTGTAACACGTCGGATCTACTTTCTCTTAAATGTCAAACCTACTGTTATGGATCCTTTTTTTTTTTGTTGTATAAATGACTAATTTTTAGAAGTCATTTTGGTGCTTATTTATGCATATTGTAGATGAAATCATGGGCTAAGGCACATGATATCAACAGTTCCAGAGACGCCACTCTGAATTCTTTGTCGATTGTATCATTTGTTGCTTTTCATTTGCAGGTATTGAACATTTTAAATATTTGTTGATGCGCGCACACACTCACATATATATATATATATATATATATATATATATATATATATATATATATATATATATATATATATATATATATATATATATATATATATATATATATATATATATTACGCTTATCAGGTCATGAACATTGCTTTTTAGATATAAGTAGTCAGAATATCTTTGAAAAAAACATATTTATTGGTGATTTTAGAAAGCAGCCATACATTTTTAAGGGTGATAGACGAATCAGCTTAGAAACAAATTAGTTTAACATTACTTACATATTTCCTAAATAGTACCCTGTGGTGCGTTGTCCATATGTTATTTCCTTTGCTGAGTTCTGATTCTTCATTTTCCATTTATTTCAATTGCAGACTTGCGATCCTCCCATATTACCTCCATTCGCTACTTTACTTAAAGGTAAAGTTTTTTCCAGTATTCAAGTTTTTGAATTGAATGTTTATGTAGAAAGAAAGAATATGAATAATCAATTAGATTCACTATAATGTGTAGTGACCCTCATATTTATATTAGGTTAAAAGACTAATACATAAGAAAGACAAATGGGCCAGCCCATATACTTAGTACTAAATCCTAATAATATAATATTACAATATAACTCTTAATAGTTTAGACAGTTTAGGTTAGTTATCCTTGAATTTATATGAACATTCTTTATTATGATTGAAGATGTTGCCACAAATATGTTTAAAAAAAGATGTTGACTCAAATAAAATTGTGTTTATCTATTTCCCAGCAGCCAGTGAGGCCCACCTTAACATTACTATCTTTTGGATTTGGATCCTCTCATGCTCTTTCTCTCATGCCTTCTCTCCTTTTCCTAATCCAGTGCTTTGATTGTCACACAAAGGAAAAATAATAGTGTAATTATGAAAGAGAAAAAGATGAACCAATGGTTGAGATTTGAGCATGATAGAAAGAGCATGAGAGGATCCAAATTCTATCTTTTGCCTGGTATTATCAGATTTCTCACCATTGCTCGCAGTTTACACATGCTGTAATCCTCTTTTTTGTTTTAATCAAGCACACACCACAACAACTAGCATACCTATTTTGAACACCAATTTCATATTTAAGAACCTACATACAAGAGGACACCATGATAATTGACTTCAAAAATGCCTCTTAGCCTCAAGATCTCTGGCTACAAATTGCTCAAAAAAACACCAAGCCAGATAGAAGGGATGGGTGACCCAACATTAAGTTCCAGTTTCTGATTTATTGCAAAATCATAATTCTCTCCTATTATGCTATCAAACAGAACTCTTGAGTGTCCCACATTGGATGAAATATGAATTGAAAACATGTTTACAAGTGGGAGGCATCCCTTACCTTACAAGCTGTTTTTGAGTTTGACTTATGTCAAACCTAAATTTTATGAGAGTGTTAGTGTCTATCCAAGATCTGTTGAGCCACCCATTGTCGGGCCACTCGATCATACTTTAGATGTCTGGTCCTTTTGACCTCTTTGCTAAGGAGGTGATACTATTGCATGGAATTCCTATATTAGTAGTTAGTAGTAGAGAGTAGAGACCTGGTGTTATGTGTAATATCTGTTTGGAATTATTGAACTTATAAGGTACGAAGCGGAAAATTAACACAACTAACCATCTGGATAAAATGGCCAAATTGAGGTCACAGGTGGGTTACTTGAGACTTATCTATGTTGCCTCTGTGCTAAATAACCTAAGGATTTGGTGTATTACTGTACACGTGGCTGGCTGAATACTGTGTAATACTAGTTTCGAATTAGAAGCTAATTGCATCCTGATTGGTTCCTAGATTGCAAGGTAGAGGAAATGGAACTATTTGTCCCTGAGATTTTATTAATGACATTGACAAATGAAAAGATACACAAAGGAACCTAATTCCATCACTAGAGCATTTTCTAGTTCACACGGCTCGGCAAATGAATTCCTAACTCAAGGGAGGGGAGTGGCCCCCTTTTTTTTAACCGTAGGAGCAGCATGCTGATTTTAAGAATCCTGTATGCTATTTCTAGTAACTAATTGCAGCTCCTAACTGGCTATTCCTAACTGCTGCTCCTAACTGACTATTCCCAGTAACTAACTGCAGCTAACTAGGATACTAGTTAATTAACAGTCTTGCCCCTCTTACTGTAATACACTTGAAGGACTTTAGGAGAATTACTATGGGGCCTAATAATAGCCTCCACTCCTTGAATCACCTTGTCCTCAAGGTTTAAATCTGGATATTGTTGTTGAGTGGTAGCTTTGTCCTCCTACGTCGTCTCTTCATTAGCTTTACCTTGCCATTTATGAGGAGTTAAGGAATGGTGGTACCCTGGTTTCTTGTCTGCCTGCTGTCTGTTGTGAAGTGATTCCATCAGTTTGAAAATCAGGATGCGTATCTGGAGTGATAGGATTGCTCCCTATGACCTTCTTCAATAGTGAGACATGGAACACAGGGAGTTTGCGTGCTGAGGATGACAGTTGTAACCTAAAAGCCTCGGTCTATTTGAGGACCAATTTGGGCCAGAGTAACTAGGTGCCAATTTAGGATTAATCCTAGTAGGCATATTGCTTCGCTTGTGAGGCCTAATTTTCAAGTAAATCCAAATACCTTCCTTTATACGAGATTCCCTCCTATGTGAATTAGCATAATGTGTCATCTGATCACGAGCCCTTTGTAGATAATACTTTTGTTGAACTAAGGCTTTGGAAAGGACTCTGAAAACTTGTGATGTACCAATACTCAGCCCTAACACAGCAAAATCAGCCCATGTCTTAGGTTGCTTGGAGCAAAACCACCGTAAATATGTTTCCATGGTTCTATTTAGAACTTCAGTTTAAACACCTGTTTAGAGGTGATAGGCAGTGCTTTATTTCAATCATGTATCTTATTTAAAGAGCTCTTTCCAAAAATGGTTTGGGAAAGTAAGATCCCTATCACCCACATATAAGGTCTCCAATGTTGGAAGGATAGAACCAATGCTATTAATTTTCTTTTCATATTACTGACTTGGAGAGAGAAGATTCTGGTAACCCTTTAAGACAAGACAGTGCCTATACATTTGCCTGATGCATCACATTTAATAGAGAAAAGTTGGGAGATATCAAGCGTAGCAAGGACAGGGTGCTGTTGTAACAGCATGCTGTAGTTGGTTAAAAGCCTCTAATCTGTTCTGACTCCTTAAGAAATCACCTTTCTTTAATAAGTTAGTCAGAGGTTTAACCATTTTACCATAATTACAAATGAATCTTTTGTAATATCCAGTGAGGCCTAGAAATCCCCTGATAGCTTTAAGTGCTGTGGGAATAGGCCACTTGAGAACACAACTTTTTTGAGGGTCGGTGGACACACCTTTTGCTGAAATTAAATGGCGCAGATAACCAACAGTTTGTTGACCAAAACTGTGTTTCTTCAAATTTTTCAAAACTGTGTTACCAATTGAAAGGTTCCTTGATTGCAAGGTGGAGAGGAAAGGGAAGTCCCTGAGATTTTATTAATGACATAAGAAAAGATACAAAAAGGAATCTAATCCCCTCACTAGAGCATTATAGTGCAAACAATTCTATGCAAATGAATTCCTAACTCAAAAGGGAGGGGAGTGGCCATAAACATAGGACCAATATACATATTTGAATAATCCTAACTGACCATTCATAGTAACTAACTGCTGTTCCTGACTCACTATCCCTACTACCTAACTAACTGCAGCAAACAACTACTAATTAATTAGCAGCCTTGCTCCTCTTCGTATAATATACTTGAAGGGCTTTAGGAGTTATTACGGGGTCTAACACACCCTATTTGAAGTGGTTTATGAAAGGCCCTGGGTGAATTATTAATGGAAACAGCCTGATTTGAGTTTTGAAAGTGTCATAGAGATGACAATATTAATATTGATGAGTGGTTACTTACTGCACAATAATATAATCATTTGGAATAGAGTTTTTAGATAGAGAGAATTGAGGCAGTCCCCGTTGTAGAGAATATGCCAAAATCTCTACTTACGTGGTTTGAACTTTTATTAAGGTTTATGGAAGCTTCAAGGAGATTTAGGGTTTAGGGCACTAGAGTAGTTAATACCACCTAGTAGAAAATAACTTAGTAGTTATTTCTGTTAGTATTATCTTTGATTAGTTTCCAGGATTGATTTCACAATGAATTTTGATATTTGTGTATAATTATGTGTTTCAGAGGGAGCTGATCTGGAGTCTGTGACGAAGATTGTTAAAACTTATACCAACTATGGAAATCAAAACAAGGAGTCACTGGCCAAGCTTTTTGTTACTCTTTTAGTCAAGGTAATTTCAATGCTTTTCTACCTACTGAGAATTATATTTTTTTATTACATGTTTTATACTATGATAATAATTTTTCGGCATCCAAACTACTGGCACAAGTGCTGTTTCGTAGTCATGACTGTAAAATCTTTTAGACACACATTCACGATTTTAAAATTTAATCTAAGCTTTTGTTTGTTTTGATAACACACCCTTTTGTGACCCATTATTGATTCGGACAATAACTTTTTGTGGTGATTGTTGTTCTGATATTTGGGAAGGGGCTGTTGATGTTCTAGAAGCCTCATGTCCAATCACTAACCTTGTGATCTGTCTTCACATTATTGGTTTGAACAGTGACTTTTTTTCTGGTGATTGCTGTTCTGATATTTGGGAAAGGGTTGTAGATGTTTTAGAAGTCCTCACATCCGATCACTAACTTGTGCTTTGTTTTCAACTTCTGTTTCTTTTGTGGCCTCTTTATAGTGTTTTTTTTTGGAAAAGATTTTATTCTGCGGATGCATTATGTTGCTGAAGTATATTTAATCACTTGCTTTGTCTTCAACATCCTTTGCTTTTATTAGATTGCTAATCTGGTGCTCTGTTTTCATCATACTTTGCCCCCCACGATTTCTGAGTTATCATATCCATTATTGAGTATTTTTCTGATTTTGATTTTCTGTTTGGAAAAAGAAACCCGGTGTTGTTGTGAGAGACCCCCAATATTCTTTGACCATCCCATTGCTCTTCAGCAGTGCCAATGTCTCGGTTCATAAACCTCTTCTCTTCCCTTTTAGTGTTTTGTTTTATCTATGTTTCAATGTAAGAGGATGACGAGTGAACGCTAGGTCATTTCTGGCCTCTGAACTACTTCGCCGGCGTGTGCTTCAACCAACTTTGACTTTCTTATGCTCTTCCAGTTGAGTCTGTTGTGGTCTTTTTTCAGGCTTCTCTGTTTTCCCATTATTACACAATGTGAACGGCAGGCAGGTCTCTTGTTTTTGCCCAATAAAAAACAATTATTTTCTCTGTTATTATGCTCCATATGACCCTAATTGTAAGATTTCTTTTCTATATTTGTAGTCCCTTAATATTAGATCCTCTTCAAACATCAACATGCTTTAATGATTTACTTACAATAATACCTCTATTAAATTTACAATTGGAAAACCCAACTTTGTTTTCTCTATCATATTATATCAATAAATATAAGGGTAATTATGTAAAACTAATACACATTTTATAATTATATTGCTACAACCACTTTCTTAATATCAGTGAAAATTTTAAGAGTCTTATAATAAGGATAGAGGGAGTACAATTTTCGAAATTTTGGTTACGAGGGGCTGACTAGGGTACTACCTTTTAGTTGTCTTACTCGAGCCATATTTGGATTATATATTGTTAATTTTATTGTTGAAAAATAGGAGTAGGTTCAAGTTCAATCAGATCAATCTAAGTTTGAAAACCACGAGCTTATTGTCCCATCCATCTCAGCAAAATCAGGTTAATGTGTCTCAGTCTTCTGTCTATGTTTAATTTTTAGAAGTTTAATTTGCTCCCATGCTCTTTTAAAATTTTGGCTTTACCAAAGTGTCTTAATACATAGGTAGGAGTCTTCGTGAGCAGGTTGGATTGGTGTCAAACCATATTTGGATTAATGATCTGTTTTGGGTCTAGGATAAACTAAACTTCTTACTGATCACATTTTTAGTTGAGTTGGTTTGGTTTGATTTTTAAAAACTAGAATCATTTCAAACCAAACTAATGTGATTAAGTTTGAGCTTGTGTTTTTTAACTAAGCAAGATTCAGATATAGTTTAGTTGTGATCAATGATATGATAATCTTCATTGATGATCAAATCAGTGCTATGTTTTTGGTAGAAAATTTAATGCCAGGTTTAGAGTTTTGTTTTTAAAGTATATAGTATGAAATATGTTGTGTATTTCAATTTCGTGGAAACATGTTCATTTGGTAATTTCATTTCTAGTGCAGCTAGCATCAGTTAAAAATCTTTGGCAGAATGGATATTGTATGAGTTCCTACAAAGGGTCGTGGGTTTTAAAATCATGGAGATACTCAATGAGTGTAAGTAAATTCATGTCCACCACCTCTATTTTAATTGGATTAATACCCGTAATATTGAGTTTATGATGATTATATATTTTCTTGAACAGATAGAGGATTTCACAGATCCATCACAAAATGTTGCTAGAGCAGTTAGAGCTGAAGGATTTAAGGCAATCTACAAATGTATCCATAATTCCATTGACGATATTTCGCGGTTTTTAAATGGCGAGATCCAGGGAATTGAATTAATGGACGATTTGTTTGGAAAACCTATGGTTTCATCTCCAGGAGTTGAGGTTACTTCTACTAGCAACATCAATGAAAGAAAGAATAACCCTCCTATTTTGCAAAATCCCCGCCCAAAGAAAAAGAAAAAAATAAGCCTAGCTAAAAACCAGGTTCCAAATTTTCAACGAACTAAACGCCAGGCCACAGATCAGGTGCATGTACTATGTTCTACTCTAGGAGTTCAGGGTACTTCTACTAGCAACATCAATGAAAATAAGAATACCCCTCCTACTAGCAGCATCAATGAAAATAAGAATACCCCTCCTACTAGCAACATCATTGGAAATAAGAATAACCCTCCTACTAGCAACATCATTGGAAATAAGAATAACCCTCCTACTAGCAACATCATTGGAAATAAGAATAACCCTCCTACTAGCAACATCATTGGAAATAAGAATAACCCTCCTACTTTGCAAAATCCTCGTCCAACGAAAAAGCAAAAGCAAGACTTGGGTAAAAACCAGGTTCAAGATTTTCACCGAACTGAACCTTGGGGCACAGGTCAGGTACATGTACCACCTAGTAGTAATGTGCCCAATGGGGTTCCTTCTTTCACTCCCCCACTCCCTTACCAGTCTCAATATCAATCGCATCACAGTTATGTTCCACGGAATGTTCCTCCTCCTCCCTTTGGCTTCAACCCAGCTGTTTACCAATTTTCTTATAATCCTTCCGTACAGTCTCATCATGTTTCGTCACAAATACATGGAGGTTATGTTCCAACATTTCATCAGAATGCAGTAGCTTCAAATTCCAATCATGTTTCATTCCCACATTCCTCACTACAAGGAAGAGACCATGCCTCACTACAAGAAAGAGACTATGCCCACAGAAGGGACTATGCCTCACTACAAGAAAGAGACTATGCCTCACTACAAGGAAAGGACTATGCCCACAGAAGTGACTATGCCTCACTACAAGGAAGGGACTATGCCCACAGAAGTGACTATGCCTCACTACAAGGAAGGGACTATGCCCACAGAAGTGACCATGCCTCAACACCAAGGGACTATGCCTTATATAATCACAGAAGTGGTTAATTTGATCTTATGGGGGTTGATTTTTTATACATACATTTTTTTAAATTAACAATTGACAAATGACTTACATGTGAACAGCCAATACCCCTCTATACTCTCTCAATGCCATGACTGTCTTAAATTAAATCTCCCATAACTGTTCTTTCGCTTGGAAATTTTGTTCTTCTAAGTCACCCTCTATATTTGAGAAGGCAGTTCAGTTGATTGTAGATGGCGATAAAACTTTCTACTAGCTGTCTTTTATGAAGGATGGACCTGTTGAGTGCAAAGGTACAGTGTTTTATTGCTAGTATTTAAGGACTAAAATTTGCAATCAACAGCACGGGAATGGATGGGCAAGTCTGCAAACCATTTATTTACAACTTATTGTATGCAATAGTAAGTCATGTTGTAATTTTATTCGAAATCTAGAAAAATGTATCTAGGATCTTTTGTATAGTTTATTAGTGTATTCATTTATCATATATTTTTTTTAAAGTTAGTTTTTTGAATTATTTAAGTGAACAATGTTGGAGTATACTCTGTTTTCCATCGCTGTCTCTTTCAAAAGTCATGTTCGACCTTTTAGAAAGACAAATAAAATCCATGATCAATTAAAATAATATAAATAATATTTAATTAATAGTATAGTTAATGTTTTGTGGATGATTCTTTTATGGACATCTACAAATTTAAATCTCTTAGACGCACGCATACACAAAACTGCACATCAATAAATTATTTCAATAATGATAAGTTTGACTCTTTTTTTTCTTTTCTCTTTTGTGAATTTTGTATTTAAGTGTTTTTAATAAAAAATTAAATTTTTTGGTTGTTATTTCATAAACCTTATTCTCGTTTGTATGATCTTTTGCAATTTAGGGAAAATCTCAATTCATCTTATGTATTATTTCTAAAAACTTTATTTTCATTTTATATAAAAAAAAAAAAACTTTATTTTCATCTTGTCTAGAAGGATATGTTTTCAGAACATTTTTATGGAGCGATTCAATATTTTCACGAGTCAGTCTCTATCTCCCTTATTCTTGGTTTTTTAGTTTAAAAGATCACAATTTTCTAAGCATTAAAACTCTTGATTTTTATCCAAATCAAGTGTTAATACTCTAGGTTTGAGGACATTGATGTCATCACTCATTCGTACATTCGGAAGGTACCTTCTCGAAATTGCACTTTGGAAGCTTCCTTTAGAACTGTGAAAGAAATATTGTACTTCATTGTTTTATATGTCTATTTGTGATACTTATTACCGAGTTGCTTATTCATTTTGTATATTTATATGACATTTACTATTGGTTATTTAGTTTTTGATTGTATTTGACTAGAATGGACCGTCACAGTTTATGTCGAGTAGAAGTTAAAAATGAGGTGGAGATACCTGTAAGATACTCCGATGTCAAAGTGAGATTCAGAATGAGCAAACAAGTAAGAGTGAGTAAGAAGTGATCAATACCTGATCCTCTCGAGTGAGAGGGTATTTAGCTCCCAATTTTGGGTCAAGGTCCGTCATTTGGCTGGGCAAGCAAGTCCAAAGTGGAGACTGTCAGGTTCTACGTGAGTAGTAGGGACCAACACATAATTTCTTATCTGGATGGATTCCTCCGCATGACCAGAAAGATATGGATGTGGTCTTTTCGGGGTCAAGTGGACTCCGTGATATTCAGAGGCGTTGATAGTCAGCCCTACGAGGAGGATGATCGTGGGGGTGCTTCTGTTCGTCGCGTAGGATCCTGGCCATCCATGAGGCCGTCTGGGAGAATCGGTCTTGCTCGAGGAGAAGCCTTGAGGATACTCTCGAGGTCCTCTTGATCGGCGATGCTCCTTCACGCGTCTTTCTAGGTTTATCCTTGTGTGGCGAGGCAACGTCCTCTCGAAGAGTGGGGGTTATTGCTCGACACAATCGAGGGAAGACTCAATCAGCTGGTCTTAACAACATAGTTGGATTGGGCCTCATATGGAGTTGGGCCAAGAGCAGGCGCAGTCCAGAACAGAAGCCCCCTAAGTCGTTGCTCCCGATGAAGGAGTTATAACTTAAGTCCACCATTGCCTTTACGAGGAGCGCATAACTCAACCGGGATCTTTTATTGTGTCGATGGAAATTGTCGTTGGTACGCGTGATTACTCGAGTAGAAGCCAGAATAGGCTTGATGGGGAACGTTCTAGTTGTTCCTCGACTCGTGGAGAGAGAAAAGCTGGCAAGGTGCTGCCACATGGTGTGAGCTTTGGGACTAATGATGGCCTAGGGAGTAGGGGTCATTATTACCTGAGCGCGTAGATGTCGAGGAGAAGGGTGGTCGGTGGACTGCTCGACGCGATGCTTCGCATTCTAGCCAGCTCTATATAGCGCCTTAGGGCCTTTTTCCCACATTCTAATTTTCCATTCAATTTTTTGCGATCTCCACTTTCTCTGTTGCCAACACTGTTTGCTGCTTTTTCCAACCGTCAACGCCGCAAAGTCCGTCGCAAATTCTTCCATCTACTCCGCTCAAGTAAGTGTTTTTCATAGTAATCGTTATTTAGATTGGATTTATTCATGAATATTTATAGAACTACACAACCCGCGGGGGGGGGGGGGGGGGGGGGGGTTGCTCGGGGCGTTCATATATTCATGCGTTACGTTTGCGAATAAGCTCGTGATATTCATCTGTTTCCCGCGAAATTCATGGACTCTGCACGGGGGATTGATATGCTCCCCAGTGAATTCATGAGTTTGTTCGATAAATTCGTATATTACTCGCAGCATCCATGAATCTGCTCGCTATATTTATCCTTAGCCCGAGTTATCCATGAAACATGCTGTTTACAGTTATTTCTAGTAAACAACCGTTAGTCTTCCAATTTATTGATTATTATTGGTTACTTGCAGGATCGACTAGATTGATCTTAGGACACACGTGTCATAACTCATTTCTATGTTCATACCCATTATCTTGATGAATTTATATTGTATGTTAGGGTTGGATGTGAGATTCTTAAGAAATATCTCTAAGACTGTCTATGGAAATAACCTGACTGAATGTATAAACGAAAGGCTTCGAATTAGACTTAAGATTTAATACTTGCATGCAAAGACAAGGAGTTTTTGAGAATGTAATAGTTTCTGGGAATATGAAGTGTTTGAACAAAAAGATAAAAATGTGTGTGAAAGCAAGTAAAACAAGGAAATACAAGGAAATCGAAAGATTTAAGTGCAGAAGTACTGTAAAAGTGAACGAAATATGAAAAGACTTGTATTGAAATTGTAAAGAATCATGATGTTCAATACGTACATTTTGTCTTCTAACTCGTTTCCCTTAAATCACGGTAATTTGAGTGTTTGAGATTTTTTAGTACATGAAAAATGAACATCCCAAATCTACATGAAAACACCTATTTATAGTGTCCTGACCCTAACGGTCCTATTCTAAAATCATGCCACGTTCGAAGCATGCAGTCTCCTTACGCTTACTGACTTCCACGCGTCTTCTAAGAATGGCGCTCTTATTTGAAATTCGAAACCTGCGCCAATCGAAGCATTTTACTAATTTTCTTCGTTTCGAAATAAATCAATTGCCTGGACCGTTTCCAATTCTGGCACCCTTGCATAAAGGAATTCTTCATATTTTAAACACTAGAAATCCCAAATCGAAATCCATCATCTATCACTGGAAATCGAAGAATCCTTTAGCACAATGGTTATATATTTCCCATCAATATTCAACACTGATATCAACCTCCTTAGGTGCTTATTCGAAATATTGTTTTGATAGTGGTTTCTTCTTTATTCGAAATAGCCAGCTAACAAATTGCCCCTCAAGAACATGTATTTCGATAGATATAAAGAAATACTTGTTTTTGATTTACCCATGCTATTTTGAGAGTATCAAAAACTCATGATGACAATACTGCACACGATGGCAGAGTAAGTGTCCAACTTTCTGCAAAACATCCAATCATCATACCAAAATGTGCAATCACAGCAGTTATAGCTAATAATTAGCAGCAAAACGTCACTTCCCTAGGAAGTTCAAAAAATCCACCTTTTCTCTTTCCAATGAGGGAGTTACACATATCCCACCTTTTTCCAAAGGTCAACAACCTTTAAACCGTTGAGGAAGGCTTATAAAAATAATTCATCTTCTTCACTCCAACTTTTCCAAATTTGCTCATCCTTCAAACAACTAGATTTTTTTATTTTCAAAAAAAAAACTTTGATTTTCACAATGTCTTCAGCGCTAACTTATTCATCCAAGAAGTCTGGAAAGTCCAAGCAAGCTTCTCCCTCCATTCTCAAACCATCAAGCAAGATTATCAGTCTTGATAATCAGGAGTTCATCTCAACCCCCAAACGCACTCAAGAACAAAAGTCCATCTATGCTTCTCAGGTAATTATTTCTACTACTGTTCTTGATAAAACCCTAGGAGTTATGGGTCCCCTAATCTCTACGGATCGTTTAGAAAAAACAAAGGGATTTTTTCCCGTGTATTCCAAAACCAAACCCATTGTTAATAAATCCACCCCTTTAACACTTAAGGAAGATGAATCAGTTGTTAGGCTGTCCAAAACCCTAAAAGAGAAAACATATGACACAGAAACGTCAAAACCTACGAGGGACGTTTTTTGTATGGACTATGTTACTGGGAATTTCAAACCCTTTCGCTCATGTCCCTCATCAGATCAATTATACCAAGATTGGCTTTCGAAAGTTGAAAATAAGAAATCTCAGGAATGGGAAAGTATAGGCATCCTAAATCTGATTCGAATGTCAAAATTAGGTTTTAGTTATAGCCAACCCTTCTTGCTAGCCTCCTTATATTTTTGGGAAAACACCTATAATACCTTCCATCTCCCTTGTGGAATGATGACACCCACGTTCTTTGATATTGCTTCTATCACTGGACTCTCCCCTATTGGGGAAACTTTTGATCCAAATGAAGATGCAGATAACCTTATTGACTTTGATGTCAAGAATGCCAGCTTCTCAAAATACATCAATTTCTATCACTCTGATGAGGAGGAGGTT